TTATATAAATATAAATATAAATATAAATATATATATATATATATATATATATATATAATATATATATATATATATATACATATACATATATACATATATATATACATATACATATACACATATATATATACATATACATATATATATATATATATATATATATATATATATACATATACACATATACAGATACATATATACATATTCACACACACACACACACACACATATCTGTCTCTCTCTCTCTCTCTCTCTCTCTCTCTCTCTATATATATATATATATATACATATATACATATGCATATATATATATACATACGTGTATATATATATATATATATATATATATATATATATGTATATATATATATATATATATATATATATATATATATATATATATATATATATATATATATATATATATATATATATATATATATATATATATATATATATATATATATATATATATACATATATAAGGACATGTATGTATATACGTGTCCATATGGGAGGGTGCTTCATGCTCGGGGTGATGTGAAGCGATGGTGTGGTAGCCTAGATAGTGTTAAGTGATTTGCATGCCTTATCCCTTACAGCTGCCACTGCTGGCTAGCCTGGTGCGAAAATGGAGCAGCTATGCATAAGACTCCCCTGCCAGCTCATAGCCTCTCTATCATCAAGACTTCTGCAATGCCTCCTCATGGCCACCCATGGAAACTAGGTCCCTTGCGGTCCTAGGCTGAACTGTGGAGGCTCTTGGAGCAGCATGAGGCCCTAAAGGTACGGAGTCATGACCCACTGGCGTGTGGACATGCCCTGGCTTCGTACTAACTCCTGCCCCCGTGCCCCCTGGGGTTAATGGGTGGCTATGGGGAGGCAGGCCTTGCCAGTCTGCCTCCCTAAGATAACCGTATTGGCACTCAAGCATTTAGTCGTTGGTGCTGGGGGGAGGGCTAAAGTTCCTTCCACTCAGCAAGTATAGCAGGGTTGGTTGGTGACCGCTGGGACTCGGGTAGGAAGTGGGGGTTACCCGTCATCCCTTCAGGGTCCCGGTGGCCGCCAACCTGGCATAAAGCTTGTGGGGGAAAGCCCTAGGGAGCCCCGCAAGCAAATAATGGGACCTGCAGCCAGCCAACCTCTTCTATATGGGGCGGCGTCAGTAGGGGTGGCAGAGGTGGCACCCACCTGGAGTGACTGCCCAAGGTTAGACATCAGGTGGGCTGTCAGGGTGGGGACATGGAACGTCCATTCCTTGCAACAGGACGATTGGTTACCACAACTGTCGAGGGAATTGAAGCTGCTGAGAGCTGAGGTGGCTGCTCTCTTGGAAGTGAGTTGACCTGGCAGCAGCACGATTAGTGTGGGTGGCTACAATTATTACTGGTCGAGGAACAGCGATGGCCACTATCTCCAAGGAGTAGCCATAGCCATCTCCAGCAGACTTCAACCCTTGGTAGTAGAGGTCACTCCAGCCGATGAGCGTATTATGGTATCGAGACTGAAGCTTTCATTTGGCTTCACATCTCTTATTGCTGTGTCCGCTCCTACGGATGTATATAAACTTGAGGTGAAAGAGAAGTTTTACACCAAACTTGCATCTGTGACAGACAGCTGTCCTCGGCAAGATATTTGTATTGTTCTGGGTGACTTTAATGCGGTATCTGGCTGTGATCGAGCTGGCTACAAGATGTCTGTCGGTCCTCATAGCTCAGGAGCTGATGCTGGCAGCGAGAATAGCCTCCTTTGCTAGGTCCCAGAAATTGAGAATTTCTGGCTCCTGGTATCAGCATTCTGACCTGCATCAATGGACTTGGTACAGAGATACGGGTAGTGTGGCCGAGGAGATCGACTACATCCTTGTTAGCACTAGATGGAGGATCCTCCAGAACTGCAGGGTGTATCGAAGCGCCGAGTTCTGTCGAACCGATCATAGATTAGTTGTGGCTACTCACTGGGTCCACTTTAGAAACCCCCGTCGCCCAAATGAACACCCAAGGGTGTTTCATTTGGACAGATTGAGGGAGGATAAGTGTGCCGGGGGTGTGCTGAGGCTATCTCTGGTCATTTCACAGCACTTGAGGGCCACACAGACCCTGTTCTTCTGTGAGACACCTTCAAGTGTGAAATGCTTGATGCAGCCCATGAATCGACTGGTGAATGGCCAAGAGCAAGACAGAATCCTATCTCGCAGGAGACACTGGAAGCCACAGATGCTTGTTGTGTGGCTCGATTGTCAGGGGATCGCAACTTGTACCGTTCTCTGGTGCTTTGGACTAGGACACTGTTGCGAAGGGATAAGGAACAGTTTATCAGGAATCTTGAAGAGGAAGTTGAAAGGCATTTCCTAGTAAATGACCTCTGCCCTGCCTACCAAGCCCTGAGAAAGCTGAACTCCAAGTCCTCCTCACAGACGACTGCAGTCCGCTCAGCAAATGGCCAGATAATCTCAGATCCTGATGGGGTGCGTGTGCATTGGGCTGAGTATTTAGAGCAG